GAAAAGACTTTTTCGACTACCCAATATAATGAGAAGGACACACGACAGATGGACACAAAAACTCTGGAATGGATTCCTCGCGAAGCAAAACTCCTCGAAGGAAACCACCGACCAAATGGGCTGACGTGTTTGCTGCACAAACGGACCAGCTGAATTCTCAGCTGGTTATGTAATGGATCTGGACTTCACGAACGTCGCCGCTGCACTTCAATACAACATCGTGGATGACTCTTGCGAGAGACAGAAACGGATGGAAACAGTGCTATGGCCTGCACCACAAGTGAATACAGGCCATCTAAGTATCTAAGTAAGTAAGTATTTATAGAAACTGAACAAGCTTTGCAAAACTGTAGTAAATTCAAAAAGATTACAGCGAAAAACTTCCACTTCCACCAACGCTATTTTCTAAGAGAGTTTGACAGACATGACAATACTACAGGTATATTGTGAAAATTGAAAAATCACTGATTTAGATTTAGCACTAAAATTTGCTTGTTTCTATTCATACAAGTTTAGCAGCAGCATCACAACAGTGATGTTTCATTTGAGAGAGAAGTTGTTGTGGTAATTGCAGGAGTTACTGTAGCTGCCGCGCACATTTATACGCGCAAGGGCGGGGTATTCCGCGTGCAGTTAATTGACGCATATGCGCTTGCTCCCAGCTATCGTTATTCTTGACATACACCCTGTAATGGGTATTAAGCTCGAAAAGAGGAATCGTCAAGTAACTTTAATTGTTTTGCTATATTTATCAGTTCAAACGCAAAGCAATTTCCATCATCTTGCAAATTTTTAATGTTGAACTCACGACTTTATGACTTCAATAAATGCTTCCTTCATTGCAACTGGCATGCTGACACTTGGTGCTACGCTACCAAATGAAATCAGCACCGTACGTTTGCGTAGATTTAGAATTTTATTCCAATTCTAAAATTTTCAAACTTATTGTGAATTGCTCGATAAGAAAGCGATATGCATAACTCATCGAGTGGTTTTGGCTTATGCACACCGATTCCTCCAAGGTCAACAACATTGTTAAGGGTGGGCTTAGCAAACTCTAATAAAGGCTCGCAGTTTGTCAAGATCCAAGACATATTCGATACTGTATCCTAAAAAGCAATGGAAAAAAAGATGGTGTAACATAAAAGTTGCATGAGATTTACCCAAATAGGTGTGGCAGAACTTCCTAATTTTTCCATCATTATTTTTTCCACCCTCATGGCGATGCTATTTTGGAAATACAAGGAAAGATATGTGAATATGATGTTAGTGGCACGACTCACAAAAGAAGCTGAATCATCGCTTACTGCTAGCGTGGCTGCAAAGAAGAGCTAAAAGACAGTCAAGAAAAGTGCGCGGATAGTTTAGAGTACCTGGCATGAAACTAGGTATTACAGGAACTCCAATAGCAAAGGCAGTACCCTCCATCAACGAAGACTGCGCGTGGGCTCCCACAATATTTTTGAGACCGATTGCCTCAAAAACGGCTAAATTGTAAACAATGAATTATTGCTGAAGGTTTGGCCTTTG